CTGCCTGCACTGACCAAGGCCAGCAGGCTGGGGGAGCTGAGTGAACAATAGGATAGGCAAAAATAATACCATTATCCATACTTAACCAACTGGGCTCTAAAATGCAGAAGAATTAAAGGAATAGCTTTGAATCCTATCTTATGCACATCACATCGGAATACATTTTCAAAAAATAATCCAAACTACCCTGTGCCAACAACCATAAAACTAAGCACTTCAAGGACAAAAAGGTGATTAGCACTTCGAGGACAAAAAGGTGATTATCCTGGTTTTCCCTAATAAATAAATAGATAAAATAAAAATCACAAATTCTCTGATAAAAAACCAAAAATCCATGATAAAAATTAAAGGCCCCCCATGGCCCTGCTAGTGCCCCTCACCCCCCACCCCCAACAGCCTCCCCAGTCCTGCTTGTGCCCCTTACTCCCCCCACAACAGCCCCCCAGCTACACACACACCCCCCAGCAGGTAAGTGTGTATGGGGGGATGGGGGAAAGTAAGGGGTTGTGGGGGCACATTGAGCATGGGGGGGTAAAAAAAAAAAAAAATCACACAGTGGCCACCACCGCACCACTGCCATCCCCCCCCCATGGGAGGGGGCACAGAGTGAACTGAGGTGGGGGGCTGGCGGTGCCCCTCTGCCGCTGTGCCCTGGGGTGCACTCTGTTCCCCACCCCCCGTCTGCCCACCCTGCACAGACTGAGGGGGAGGAAGGTGTTGGGGAAAATCCCACTAGGAGTGTCTGCTGGCTGGCAGGCACTCCATGTCTTCTCCCAACACATCCTCACTCCCTAAGCCCCAAGCCAGCTTCCCCCCCAGCCTTGCCTTACAACCTCCCGCACTTTCCCCATCTCCCTTCCCCTCTGGGCAGGGGTGAGGGTTTCCCACCCCTTTTGCAAACAGCTCTTGGAGGCTGAAACTCAGCCAGCCTGCAGAACTCTCTGCAAAATGGGGAAATCCACGGGTCTCCTTGCTAAAAGGGAAAATCTGTGTTTTCTCTGATTAAACTGGGAAATCCATGGTTTTCGCCATTTTTCCATGGGAAACGGAAAAACCGGATCCCTGGTGATAAGGAACAGTCAGCACGGACTCACCAGGGACAAGTCATTCCTGACCAACTTGATTGCCTTCTATGATAAGATTACTGGCTCTGTGGATGCACGAAGACTGGTGGATGTGGTGTACACATCAAAAGCCTTGCTAAAATTGAGCATCTCCCACAACGTTCTCCCAGGCAAGCTAAGGAAGCATGGACTGTCAGGTAGATAGAAAACTGGCTGAAGCATCGGGCTCAGAGTAGTAATCAGTAGTTTGAGATCTAGTCAGCAGCCAACAACAGAGTGCCCCAGCATTTGGTCCTGTGGCCAATTTTGTTCAATTTCTTCATCAACAACTTGGAAGATGGCATAGAGTGCACCCTCAGCAGGTTTGCAGATGACACTAAGCTGGGGAGAGTAGTAGATATGCTGGAGAGTAGGGCTAAGATTCAGTGACCTAGACAAATTAGAGAATTGGGCCAAAAGGAGTCTCATGAGGTTCAACAAGAGCAAGTGCAAAGTCCTGCACTTAAGATGGAAGAATCCCATGGACTGCTACAGGCTTAGGACTAACTGACTAAGCAGCACCTCTGAAGAAACAGGACCTGGGGATTACAGTGGAAAATATGCTACATATGAGCCAGCAGTGTGCCCTTGTTACCAAGAAGGCTAACAGCATACTAGGCTGCATTGGTACGAGTGTTGCCAGTAGGTCAAGGAAAGTGATTATTCCCCTCTATTCAGCACTGGTGAGGCCACACCTGGAGTACTGTGTTCAGTTTTGGGTCCCCCACTACAGAACGGATGTGGACAAGTTGGAGAGAGTCCAGCAGAGGGCAACAAAAATGGTTAGGAGGCTGGGGCACATGACTTATGAACAGAGGCTGAGGAAACTGGGGTCTAGAGGACAGGGGACTTAATAGCAGCCTTCAACTACCTGAAGGATGGTTCGAAAGATTCACAGATTGTAGAGTCAGAAGGGACCACAAAAGATCATCGTGTCTGACCCCCTGCCCCTGGCAGGAAAGAGGACTGAGGTCAGATGACCCCAGCCTGGTGTCTATCAAGCCTCCTCTTGAAAACCTCCAAGTTAAGCAATAGAACCACCTCTCTTGGAAGCCCATTCCAGATTCTGGCCACCCTTACTATAAAAAATGTCTTCCTAATGTCTAACCTGAATCTACTCTCCACTAGTTTGCACCCATTATTCCTAGTTACTACTAGGGGTGCTCTGGTAAATAGCGCATCTCCAATTGCCTGTTGACCTCCCTTGATAAACTTATAGGCGGCTACAAGGTCTCCCCTCAGACGTCTCTTGTGAAGGCTGAAGAGCTCCAAATCCCTCAACCTCCCCTCGTATGGTCTTTCACGGAGGCCACTAATCATGCGAGTAGCCCTCCTCTGAACTCTCTCCAGATTCTCCATGTCCCTCTTGAAGTGCGGCGCCCAAAACTGGACACAGTACTCCAACTGCGGCCTGACCAATGCTGCATAGAGGGGGAACATCACCTCCCTCCATCTGTTGGTCACGCATCTGCTAATGCACGGCATGGTGAGATTGGCCTTGTTGATGGCTTCGTTACACTGCCAGCTCATGTTCATCTTGGAGTCGACTGTGACTCCAAGATCCCCCTCAGCCGCTAAGCTGCTGAGGAGTTCATCCCCCAACCTATAGGTGTGCTGGGGATTCCTCCTCCCTTGGTGGAGCACCTTGTATTTATTTTTGTTGAACTGCATCCTATTTCATTCTGCCCATTGATCCAACCTGTCCAGATTGGCCTGTATCTGCTCCCTGCCCTCCGGTGCATTAACTTTGCCCCATAACTTGGTATCATCTGCGAACTTGGAGAGGGTGCTCTCCACACCCTCATCCAAATCACTGATGAAGATATTAAATAACACTGGTCCAAGGACCGAACCCTGCGGGACCTCACTGCCCACCTCCTTCCAGGCCGAAAATGACCCATCCACCAACACTCTCTATGTGGAGCTAGACTGTTTGCCATTGTGGCAGATGACAGAACAAGGAACAACGGTCTTAAGTTGCACGAAGGGAAGTTTAGGTTAGATATTAGGAAGAATTGCCTCACTAGGAGGGTAGTAAAACACTGGAACAGGTTACCCAGAGAAGTGGAGGAAGCTTCATCCTAGGAGGTTTTCAAAACTTGGCTAAACAAAGCTTTGGCTGGGATGATCCTGCTTTGAGCAGGGGGATGGATTAGTGACCTCCTGAGGTTCCTCCAAGCCCTAATTTCCTATGATTCATTAGGCACTTCCAGATTAGACAGTAAAACTTGCCTGGACAATTTACATTTGCCTGTGTGCACCTAAATCTGCTGCAATTAAAACTGATTTACACTCTAAACTGTGCCTAAATTCCTGAGAGCAAAAGTTGTCAGCTACAACTCCCAAGGGACTGCCATAAGCAATAAACTACAGAAACATGTTCCTTTTTGCCCTGTGACTTCTGCACTCTTGGCTACCAGTGGCCCAGCTTCAATAGGAGTACAAGAAACCACCTCTAGGATCTCTGAAACTCAGGAGTTCTTTAGAGATGTCTATTGTCCTCCATTCTCTATATCCACCTAGACAGCTAAACTGAATCACTCCTAGGTACTTCCTGAGTTCTTCCACTGACAGTAGAGGGATCTTTAGGGCTAGAGACAGAAGTTACACTAAACTGGTTTAAGTGATCAGAAACTGGTTTAAACCTTAACAAAACAGAAGTTCACTGTACATAAACCGCTTTCAAAATGACCAAAACCAGTTTAAGATGACCCTGGATGGATGCAGTATCAGACTCAACTGATTTATATCAAACAGGTTTGCAGAACTTCTGTCCCAATTCCCCTTGTGATTCAAGTTAGCTCTCAGTCCCCCAGCATCCCAGGATGCTTTGCAGCCCTGGGCTTGGCAGTCTGCTCCAGTAGGGCAGAGCTCCCCCTCACCTCCCTGCTTTCACAGAGCTGAGGAAGTAAAGTCCCTGCTCCCTAGTCTCTGCCTGTGCCTTTCAGCCTGGCCAGATGAGGGGCAGGAGAACAGACCCCTAGCCCAGGTTTGCACAGCACAAGGGGAGGGAAAGCATGCTCTGTGGGGCAGGGAACACCGCTCCCCCCACCCCAAGGCTGGGGCAATCTGGCCAGCCCAGAACCACAGGGACTATCCCCCACTCCCCACCTGTGGGCACAGGACCAAGCCCTGTGGGACCATATTGACAGGTGCAAGGGAGGAATCCCATCTCTACACCAGGGAAGGGCTTACGGGACCCTGCCAGAGTCAGGGAACCTCCACTGAGGCAGGGGGATCCTGCCAGCCCCAGGCTAGAGGGTCTATTCCCCCAGGGGGTGGGAGGGAGGATAGCACGTACTGGGCAGCCAATGAAGGATGAGCCCTGCTTGGCTGCATTCTGGGTGCCTTTGGCAGTGGCTGGCAGTCGGAGGCATGCTGTAGCACCCCCGGCTACTGCTATGGGCCACTGCAGGGGTCTGGTTGCTTTTCTGGTTTTAAAAGTGAACATCACTTTTATCAGTTTATTATCAGTTTCAGTATCAGTTATACAGTTTATTATCAGTTCAATCTACACAGTTTAGAGAAACCTGCAACAATTGAACTGATTCAGCTTGGGGCTTTTTGACTGTCTGTACTTAGCCTAGGTGCCTAACCTGGCCAAACTGAGTTGTCCTCCAGAACAAGAAGCCTAAAACATTTTGCCGAACTTGAATAGTTTTAAGATGTGAAAGGGCTAAGAAAAAAGTTAAATATAAACCTTTGTTTTATAAAAAGGGAAAGAGATGAAGACAACTTGTGTTACATTGCGATCATTGGTAAAGTAAATTTGAATACATAATCCAAAGTCTTCTACAGTGGGAAAAGCCCTGGAAGCGTGCAACAAAATGACCCAACTCAAACAGGCAAAGAGCACCTGTAACTCTTGTGGAAGCTAATGGCTATGGACACACGTACCTTTGAGAGTATTTCATAAGGGCAACAGCAGTTATGGATGGACAAACCTGAAATTATACAAATAGCAAACATTACTCCAACTTTAACAGTAGATGAAACAATCCTGGATGATACATATTTGTTTTTAAAAAGTCTCAGTTTGACAGTTAACATCTGAATTGGTCATTCCTAAACTCCTGCCTTTCTTTTCACTTTTCTGCTTGTACTATTTGTTCCCAAAGGCTTTGTTTTTCCTTCTTCTCTCTAGTACAGCCCTTACCCTTTTCTTCTATAAGACAGGTAAGAAATACACCTTATATTACCCTGCCTTCTCCTGACTTCAAAATAACTACCTCTCTCCTTGTAAGATGACAATTAGAAAAACTAATTTCTGATTTTTAATATTACTGCTAATTACTTGACATCATCTGTCCCTATTGTTGTGAATCCAGCATCTTGTTCTCAATAAAACATAGCTGTTATTACTGATTATTATGCATTAAGTACTATACCCTTCTGTTAACCTTCCCCAGCAATTTGGCACTCAAATACTATATAAATAAGTAAATAAAATGCAGTGTACCAAAGCAATTGCAAAGTTAATGGACAACTGAAAAACAAGGATAATTAAATAAATGACTAACTAGGAAAAGATTTTACCTGTATATATAGTTCTGTGACAAACTACAAACCTAAACAGAATCAAGTCTATTTATGTTATGAAATAAGAAAAAATATTTATTTTATTTCACTTAAGATGTCTTTTGAACTGTAGCTTTAATGCTTAAGCACATGCATATCTCGAGGTCAGTAGGCTTGTTCACATGTTTAAATGCTCTGCTAAGTCTCAGTCTAACACATTTTAACTGCAAGTTGCATCCAATAAAATGCATGGCTGTACTAATGTTATTATAGGTAATGTGAAACTAAGATTAACTGAAAAACAAACAAACCATCAAGCACTACAGTGCTTCCCTAGTGTGGGAAAGGGATAAGTTGTGAAACACACAAAAGACTGATAGTAGGAACGTAGCTGGGTGACACTGGCCAAATCATAACCTCTCAGCATTTCAGATTCTCCATTTTTAAAATGGAAATTACTTCAAAGGGTTAGTCATTGATCAAGCTTTGCAATATCTGAAGTGCTGCATAATCCACGGAACATGCAAACTATACAATGGCTGTAAACTATTTTTAGAAGAATGTCCCTTGTATAGAAGTATGCAGATTACTATTTTTAGCATGCAAATATTTTAGAGGCTTTGTTTAAAAAAAAAAAAAAAAAAAGAGAAAGAAAGAAAGAAAGAAATTAAAGAGGGGGGAAAAGGTGTTTCTTCTATGCAGCTAATTCAAAACAGTATTCCAACACCAGCCTATAGGAGGTGGAGTCTCAAAAGTCAAAGTTTGCCATTAACACTTGTAACTGATTATGTGTAGTTTGCTAGAGCAAACATTATGTAAAAAATAATCTTCTGCTCTCTCTTGATCATCTCCTCCATATTCACAGAATTCTTCCTTGTTCTAGCCCAGATTTCAAATTCACTACTTTACCTTCCAGTGAACACTAACCAAGCCAATACAAACAGCTGAGATTTTAAAACCCTTTCCTCATATACAATAAATAAATCAAAGAAAAAGTACAAGATAGCCCTGCTCCTCTGCACCCGCTGCCATACCATTTGTCATTACAAAGAACATATTTATAGCAATCCATAATAAAGCCAAGAAATCCAAATGATCACAGCAAAGGAGACTCAGACTTTATCCTCTTACAAACTTAAAAAAAAAAAAAGTTTACCAGAATTACAGCTCATTCCTGCTATCCTGGTGCAAGCAAGATTTCCACAAACATTACAGCAAAGCTTTAAGAAATAAGCCTCGTATTGCATCAGATTAAATAAGAGAGTTGCAGGCATAGAAAAATAAACACTCACACCTCCAAATCCCAAATGACATTTCAAGCTTTCTTGCTTAAGTTTTCTTTTCTCTTTTTCTTAAGTGCTGTTTGTTGAATCTTAGGAACTAAACCATTCCACATGCCTATATCAGCCATGTAGTTAGTGTCAATAGTGCTTGACATATTTCAAGCATCTGAACCAGCTTCATATAAATTATCTAGAGCTGCTGCCTACTGCCTTCTCCACAACAGATAGTAGCATACAGTATCTTCTGTACAAAAGATCACTCATCTATTCTATCTCTGGTTGTTCCAACCTCCTCTTCAAAGAGCTTTCCTTTTAATTTGAATTCCAACCCCACCCTAAGTTGTTACCAACAACAAATGCGTTTCAAAACTTACAAAATTTTTCACTCATTATATTGTTCCAATTATAAGTTAAACCAACATATAAAGAGTTAAATGCATGAAAAATACCAAAGTAAAATCTAAAAATGAAAATATTTCTGGCTTGGTATTTTATTGCATACACAAAAAATGGTAGGTTACAGGTCAAGACTGTAGGGGGACCAAATATAAAGTCACCCACAGAGAGAAGTCAAGTGCAATTTCAATGGCTCTTTGGGGGGAAGCTAGACTCAATCAGAACAATAAAATAAATCAACCACAGCAGAGAGCCTGTGACATATCAGGAACAAAGAAAAACAAAACAAAACACATACATAAGAACACATGTCCAAGCCCTTCTATCACAAGAAACCACATCCTATAATAATCCCTTTCACAAGCTTTTCAGAGCATTAGGTGCCCTCAAATCAACTATCCAAAACTTAAGGCAGATAAGCTTACTGAACAATGAAAGTTTGGCGTAAACAACAAATCCACCCTGCCCAGCTCATACCTCTTTTCAGTAGATAACCACTTTCAAAGAGAAGGATTACATTGTATAAGGGAACTATCAGTAAACAAGTCCATGGCCTCTATCACCACCTCCTGAATATTTCAGGAGGCCCAACTCCACCTCTACAAAAGTCTGCCTCTGTCCCAATATTTTTTCATACCTTGTTATTTATTTTTACTTCCCTTTCTGACTTCCCCCAAGGTCCAACTCACCTACCTTCTGCAGCATGCTGCATGAACAGAATGCCATTAGTAAAACTTCATTCACACAGGGACCATTTACAGACATTACATTTCTGCTGGGAGAGTTGCCACTCTCCCAGCAGAAACTACAAACATACAAGGGTTCATTCAATTTCATCTGGGGGGTGGGGACAGGGGGAAAAATATGCCCCCTCTTTTTCCATCCCCACCACCTCCTCAGACCCAGCCCCTGGTCTGAGGAGTGACTGGCATTTCCCCTGCTGCTCCAGTTCTTAGATTGGACCAGGAGAGGAGGACTGGAGCAGCCCCCAAGCTCTCCACCCACTCCCCAGACCAGGACTTTGCCACGCTGCTCCCCCACACTCCTGGACCAGACTGGAAATGCAACAAAAAAGGCTGCTCCCCACACCAAAATCACCCCAGGGAACAAGTCAGAGGGGACAACTGCAGGCTGAACTTAGGCCGGTCCCTCTCCCCGAAAAATTGCTACTCATGGAAATTTCTCAGAATTAATGGTCAAGAGCCACAGTTTCTCTTCCTAGCTTTCCATAACCCTGCTGTTTATTTCAGGATCTAATTTCAACTTGCTCCCCACCCTCCCTTTTTTTTTTAATTTTACATTTTCTGTTAATTTAATACAACCTACTTTATTTGTCAAGTCCCTTCCCATGTGAGTGGGGAAGTAGTAATAGAAAACTATGAGGGCTAAATGTGCAACAAAACTAAGGTGAAAGGCTGCTTATCTGCTTCAAATCTTAGGCTCACAATCACTACAGGGAAAAATACTGGCCAGTCAAAACCACAGCTATACCCAGTTTCAGGCATCTTTCTACCTCATCAACTCCGCCTTTAGTTTCAAGTTCTGCTGGTGGCCATTTGCTGATAAACTTCCTTCTAATTTAACTGTTTCCCCACCACAGCTGGATTTAGTGTGCAAAACATTTTAGAAAATGGTTTAGATGAAGGAAACATCACAAAATAGTTATATTGGAATGATTTCTATTTTCTGTAACTCTATTTTCTTGCTGCTCACATTGGAATAAAAACATCAAAAACTGCTTCTTCACAAAAATCACTTAAATGCAAGAACTATTGGTTATCCAATAAAAGTCCTATGGCCATAAAATATTATCCTCCCTTATTAATAAAAGTTGTAGCTAAAACCTCAGAGGTAAGTTATTTTACCAGTAAGACTAGTTTGCTATCTGCAGAGCATTTCAATTTTGAACGTTCTCCAAAGCTCTAATTATCTTGTCTAATTCTCAAACTATTTTAACAAACTATTGTTTAATACACATAAAATCTACCCCAAAACTCACACACACTTAATCTCAAATCTGCTACAAAAATAAGAGATTTGTTATCATTTTTGAGCATGAAAATTTAAACTAATCCCTTGGAATCCTATGTTTACCATACATTAGATACACAGCTGTAATAAATGACTCCTGCCAAGTGTCATCTACATTTCTGTCTGAAATACCATGCGTCTCATTTTCAAAGAAACTCTTGAAATAAAGAGCAAGCGAGGACTTGCACAACACAAATGTGAAATAAAAATTAGGGCTTTACAAATAAGTACTGATCACACTGCCTTCATAATATGTTATTATTAAACACCCTAATGTTACCAAATTACTAGGATCCTCACAAAGCAAGTGATCCCACTGATTTTAGTAAGACTAGTAATCTCCACTATTTACACCAATTATTGTGAACAAGCTAAAAAGTTGTTGCAGCCTCAGTGCACACTAGTACATATAGTGCATCCTCAGTTATCTGAATCCCTTTAGGAAGTACTTGCCAAACAGCAATTGGGATAGCTGAATTCTTTCAGAGAAACAAAAATGACAAGTTACAGTATCAAACCTAAGCATAGACTTTATTAAATAAAGCCTAAAGAGAAAGTGTTACATGACACCATTAAAAACTGTTGCTGTTCAGGTAACTGAGGTTGTACAGCATAACTTAGGACCCACTCCCATCCTTTTGAAAAGATAATGACAACCCTCCCCTCTCCTCATGCTTGCAGAGCTATGAGGACTAGAAGCAAGAGAAGGGCACCTG